CCCTGCTGGTGGGAGTATAGACTGGTACAACCACTGTGAAAATCAGTGTGGAGATCCCTCAAAAAAGCAAGGTCCATTTGATCCACCTATTCCTCTTCTAAGTATTTTCCAAGAAGAATTGAAAACATCATACTACAGTGATGTATGTACACTCATGTTTACAGCAGCACAATTTGTAAAAGCTAAATCTTGGAAACAACCTAAATGCCCATCAACCATGGAATGCATTAAAAAAAGGTGTAGCATTTTTATACAATGGAGTACAACACAGTTATAAAGAAGGATAAACTCAAGGTCTTTATAGGCAAATGGATGCAGCTTGAGATCATACTGGCAAGTGAAATAAACCAGACTCATGTGTGTAAACATTGTATTACCCCCCCCCAGTGTAAAAAGCTGAAAGGGTAAACAGGATTTAAAATGTACAACAGATATTCAGAAAGGGGAAAGGGAAGAAACTGCTCAAAAGGAAATACTGGGATGAGGGAAAGGGAAAAAGGAAATAGGGAAAAATTATATATATTTATATATGTGTGTGAAAGAAAATTATACTACTAATATGCTAGTTCATCAAAAATAATGGTTTGTGCTTTCAGTGTCTGATCATTTTTCATGCCTATATCTTGTTATCTGAGGAACTGCTTTGAAGATAACAATATGCAATATATTAACCATCGTTCATCTCCTTATGTTTTGAAATTTGATATCATTATTTTTGTTCTTTTTTTCATTTTAAAATTAAAAATATAAATAAAAATAAATTTTTAAAAATGACTTGTCACTTAGAAAGGAACTCTGTAAAGGTTCATCTCTGGCATGCAATCAGAAATGATGAAGGCCATAAGCCAGTGGGATGTCGTATACAAAAAGAGTCTTTAACCAAGAGTCTTTACTTCAGCAAAGCCACGTTTCACAACTAAAAGTGAAATAGGTATTTCACGTAACAAACACGAAGAGGGTTTGTTGCTAGCACACTTGCCTTACAAGAAATCCTAAAGGAAGATATTCCTAAAGCCATATGATCCTATCCACCAATCAAGTTCACACCAAAACCACACTGATAAATGTAATTACATAACTATGAATGGGTGTGAATCATTCTTCTTTTCTTAATTTAAAAAGCAATCGAATAGAACAGTATTATATAACTGTACTGGTAGGCGTAGAGCACACAGAAATGTGGCATTTTTAACAATAACAGCACAATGTAGGTTACAGGAGAACAGGAGTTCTGGAGTGAGAAAATGATGCCAGACGGTAACTTAAATCCTCAGAAAGTTACTATAAAAAAGCTACGATTATATACTCACCCTCTCTTTGTTTGGCTTCTTCAGTACACATACAATTATAGGTAACAGTCATAATGATGTGTTGTTAGGTGTGACACACATACATATTCATGGACAGAGAGACAGTAGGTGTAACAACAGCACAAAGGAGAAGAAAGGACACAGTCTTTTATGAGTAACTAAACAGCTCATTCAATCATTTAGTACCAACCTGAGATAGACTCTGATAAACGAGCACGGAGGAATCCCTCATGGATGACTAGAGATGGAGTGTGCAAGGGAGGCTGAGGACAGCCACCTGGTGATGCAGGTATTCTGACACAGGGGAGGCAAACATACTCAGGTAACACAGAAACAACAGGAAAGGGGACTCACTAGTCTGAGCCCAACTGCAGAGTGACTTGAGAAAGGGAACCCAGACCACACTGGTGCACAGCACCCTTTGCTATGCGCACCACCACCCTGGGAGTGGCTTCAGCCTCCCAGGGAAGGAGCCAGTCCTGCAGAGACTGGAACTGTAGGTCTTTCCACTGGAAAGGGGAACCCAGGGTGGGAGCCAGCTGTTGATGGAGACTGCCACTGGTGAAACGGGGGACTGACACAGCAATAGAAGCTGAACAGGCAACCTCTCCTTCCCCACCTCCTAAATATGGGAGCTCCACGTGCTTGTACAACCTGCCATTGCCCTCCTCCAAGGAAGTCAAACAGTAACAAACTTGGGAAGAATACAGCAGGGAAAGGAGCCCCTGTATACTGCGGATGTAAACTGGTACCACCACTGTGAAAATTAGTATGGAGATTCCTCAGGAAACCAAAAACAGACAACACATTAGACTATTCCATTTCTAAGTGCCTTCCCTGAAGTGTTAAAGACCTTTCATCATAGTGATGCATACTTACCCCTGGTAACATAAGCACAACTCGAACAGCTAAATCTTGGAGGGTCCTAATGCCCATCAAGAGATGACTGGAAGAAAGAAAACATGTTATTTATGTTCAATAGAGTATTACTCAGCCAGAAAATAGGATAAATTGAAATTATTTGTAGGAAAAGAAATGCAATTTGAGATCATAATATTAAGTGAATTAAATCAAATGCAAAAACATATCGTATTGTTTCTCTTAGGAAGAAACAATAGGAGAAAACCTATTGTTTTCCTATATATGGGAGAAAACCAAGGGTAAACAATTCAAGAGCAAAACAAGGGATGAATCATAGGAATCAGAGAGATATATCATTTGCAAATGGGAAAGGGATCTAGAGATAAAAGAGGTGGAGAAAAGGAGGGAGAGGGCAAGCAGAAAGAATTAAGGTGTGTACTCCCCACAATCAATTGCTAAGTACAGCATATATGAATAAAATGTTTAACAATTCATGTGCATATGGTAAGCCACAGTGCAGACACTAAGAAAAACTCAAAAAAAGTGTAAATTATCATGATTGCCTTTGAAATAGTACATTAAAAAATTCACTTAACGTAAAAAAAGCAATCAAGGAGAAATGAAGAATACCAGTAAGAAAAAGACATGTAGGAAACAAAGTTAAATGACAAACATAATGACAATCATATCAAATGTTAGTGGATTAAGTAACCCAATAAAGGCAAAGATACTATAAGCCTGAATTAAAAGCAAAGCAGCTAAATTATAAGTTATTTATGGAAATGCACTTTAAATTCTAAATATAAATAAATTGAATAAAAACAATGACAAAGGATGCAGCTTATGAACAGCAACTGTAGGGAAGTTCGCACAGCTTTACTAACATCTGACAAATTAAATAAATATAAATAAATGATGAAAATGTTACCAGAGATACGAGTCATTTTAAAATGATAAAAAGATAACAAAGATAAATGTACATGCATTTAATAACAACCCTCTCAGATGCATAAACATCTAATATTGAAAGTAGAAATAGACAAGTCAACAATAATAGGCACATGGACTTCCTACTTCCAAAAATAAGAAAAAAATAGGCCAAACATTTTTGAGGAAATAGAAGACTGGAATTACACTAGAAAACAACTACACTTAACAGGCATCTGGGGAACACAACACCCAAGTAACAGAACCTCCACAAAGTGCATGTAAAACATCCTTTAGGACAAACTATGTGCTAAACCATTAAATACAGGCCACAAGAAGTCTAAAATTATTGAGATTACATAAAATATGTTCTCTGGCCATGAAGAAGGAAAATTTAAATCAATTACAAAAATCTGAGAATTTGTACACACTGCTAAATAACCACTGGCTCAAAAAGAAACCACGAAGTAAAATAGAAAATAATTTGACATGAAAGAAAATGGAAACAGTATTCTAAAAGTAACAAAAACACGTTAGAGAAAACTAACAAGCAAATTTTGGTTCTTTACAAAGGTCAACAAAATCGGCGAGCCTTTAGTTAGGCTGACGTACATGCAGATAATCAGACCAAAAAAACCTTCTGAGGACATTACCATGCACATCATCACGTACATCACCATGAAGTATATGCACATGTATAAGTGTAAGCCGTGTGGAAAGACAACATAGTTTTGTAAACAAAACCCACCCTAAAAGAGTTGGGAAATTTGTCATGTATCTCCAGTTAACTTCCTCCCCCACTTTTGCTCTAGAAAGTTCCTTCCCCAGGTTCAGGTACCCTTCCCCATGATACAGCTCTTACTTGGCCTTGTCACCCAATGATCCAAGCAAAGTAGATTTGAGATCAATTATTTATACATATTTATGGATGGAAAACTTACCTTTTCAAGTTCTTTCCAACAAATGCATACTGTAAAATACATTCTCAGTCTGTGATACCACCTGTGACCTGAAAGGATTTTCCATTTTTTTCCATATTAAAGAATATGAAACTTCTATGCAATTTCCAATAGACATCACGATCTAAGTCAAGTAGTTCACTTCAGAAAAGATTTGACACTCCTCTCCAAGTGGAGGATGAAATATGGTACACTACATATCACCCTGGAAGTTGACTGCACTAGTTTTTGTTATGTTTGTCTATTTTGTATGTCAAGGGAAGATGGCAGCTCTCGGCAGCTAAACCCAGTAAGTCACTTACTGCTCAGGAGTGGCCCTGTCAGGGTGGAGAGGCAGACATTTGAGGACCGTACTGTCCCAGCTCAGAGCACGGTGTCTGCCTCAGGAGTACCTGGAGTGCCACCTGAATGGTCACACAAGAACAGCTTTAGATCTAGTCTTCTGACATTGTCAAAAGCATCTCCAGATGAGCTTACTCCTACAATCCATGTGTACATGTGTGAGAACACTCTAGTCTGTGGGATGTGACCCCCCAAATCACCATTTTTCTGAGCATGCTTTGCCATTTCTTCGCTGGTAAATACTACAACCTTCTGTCCACCTTCAGGGGCTCTGCCTACTGCTGTCCTCCTCAGGTCCAGGGCTACAGGGACAATCCCAAACCCTTGGCACACAGCACTTTCCTCACGGCCACAGGTCTAGTCCTTGTCTCCCTGCTAAGGACTCCACAATAAACGTTCTTTGCTTCCATTGTCAGGAATAGCTGATGTAATTTTTATTTATATTAATGTTCCCATTAATGCAAGTTCTACCCAACATATCCAACGCCTCTGAGCACATAATTATTCCAGCTATCTTTAAGTTGGCTCTTAAGTGTCACAAAATCCCTCCAAACTGAGACTATGCTACTGAATCATCAAGAATTAAATTCTACAAGAATGATTATAACAACAAATAATATTTATTAATTACTTGCGTTGTGCCAGGCACTCTACTACTTTACATAAATTATTTCATTCTGCAACTAAATATTTTATATTTCCTAGGAGCACTTAAAATGAATTCAGATAACGATGTTGTTGGACATCATTGAAAGAAATTCTTAGCATACCAAAGAAGTGTGATCTATAAGATAGAATATTTTAAACTCTTACAAAGTGAGTAGCACTAAATTCACATAGGATGCTATTAAACTTGTATTTCTATTTGTGGAAAATAAAGTTATTCCTGTTATGTTGTAACTACCTTCTTTTTATCTTATTTATTTCCTTCACCTTTCTCATATTTTTAAAACTCACAGCTTCAGAAGTCAATTAAATGTATTAGATTTATATATGCAATTAAATCTTTTAAGAAGTATAGAAAGTGAGTGCTATGCTTTTGTATTAGTTCCCAACACGTGTTCCACGGAAAACCAGGCTGACATTAATTTTGGTATAGGTACAGAAAAATAATGAGACATGATTTTTACTAATCTTTCACTTTGTATTTTAAGCTCTAGGCTGCTCTTGATTGAAACTCTTATTTTATTATCAAAAATTACACTAGACTCCAAATGAATAACTTTTCTGTTGGAGGCAGGAAATGGTCACTACTAACACTGGGAATGTATTTTTCCCATCAATATTAATATGTAATATATGTTCCTATTAATTACCACTCTGAAAACTAGTTTTGTTTCTTCTACACAAAATCAATAAGGAGTATGTGCAAATTACGAGTGCTAGCGACAGTGGGGCGGGTATGTAATACGGAGCTGCCCCTGAGTGTACAGCCACTGCTAGTATTCACTACACCATGTGTACGCAGCTGTCACAGAGTCCATCAAAGCTGGAGCGGATGAAATTCAACAACTCGGCCGTGTGGATGCTCACAGCTGCAGCTCAAGATCTTCCCCTGCTCCACCGAGGCACCACCAAAGCACTGTCTTCCTCCTTTGGGCAAAAAAGAGTAAGTCACTTATGTTACTAATTCACCACAGCAGGCTGAAATCCATTTTACATTTTACTGCAGAGAGTAAAAGGCAAACATTTCATGACAAGAAAATGGACATTACGTAAACATCTTCATGCTCAAGACTGTTAAGTGCAATTGTTCCAGACTACCATAACTGCATCTTTATGACAGAACCAATTAATGAAAAATGTTGCAGAAACAAGTATCTTCAACCAAGATAAAATAATTGTTTGAACAATTCTGTAACCAAAAAATTTACATGTTCTCTCTAATAAATAAAAAAGTTCTAAATTACTAACACTAGTTTCCTGTGCAATAATCACAGATGGATAGTAACTCAACACAAAAACCACTTAGTTCTGGTCCCTCAATCACTTTACAATTCTATTAAATATGTCTTAAATAATAAATACAGATTATTACATAAGATAGCAGCCCTCTGACGTAGAAGTCACACGCATCCCATTTTAAAGAGTACCAGCTAGGGTTTTAACTCAAAGACGTCTACTTGTGTTGCCAGCAGAAAGAGTAGCGAAGGGGACACGCTAGGCAGATGCCTACTGTAAACTGGTATGATGCTTCAGACATAAATACATACTAAAATCTAGGATGCAGATACTTTTTGATTTGGAATTGTACTTTTAGAAACTTAAAACACACATACAACAATCTAATTATACAAATATTTAATGAATAAGGATATTCATTGCAATAGAAAATGGAAAAAACTAAAATGATATTCTTAAAAATGAAATTTTATTTGATAAACTTAGGATAAAGCCTCTAGACTATCTAGTCCCAAATGATTTATTAAAAGTGTCTTTGATAAATTATAATACAACGAAATACTTTAGAATTATCTATACAGGTTATGGATACGTATCTTTGTATGTGTTTGTATACACACACACATATTTAAATGATTTGTTAGAAAATATTCATAATGTTGTGATATTTCCAAACTATATTTCAAAGAAGATACTAAGTCATGGCCAAATCTTTTAAAGTTTTTATAAATGTATTTGTGTATTTTAAAATGACAAAATTTTATATTTTCGTGTGCAACATTATGATTTGAAATACACAAACACTGGAATGGCTAAATTAAGCTAAATAATATATGCATTACCTCACATGGTTATCATTTTGTAGTAAGAATACATCCTAATCTCTTGCATTTTTAAAGAATATATTATTTTAAACTATACTCTATAGATCTCTTGAACTTATTCTTCCTTACTTAAATTTTATATCTTTTGACCAACATTTCCCTAATTCTCTCTTATATCAAATCTTTAATATTAAGCCTCAAAGATGAATTCAAAGGTAATATAGGACGTTGTTTCTGTACATATTTTGACAATTATATGCCCACAAGTTACAATTAAAGTGACATGAAACTCAATTGTAAAATCACATTTCAGAACCAAAAAGAACCTGAAGCCACAATGTATTAATTTTGCTTAAAGAAAAACTCTGAATCTAATATTTCCCAAAATGTGTTCCTTGTAACATTAGAAATTGACTGAAAGAAATTAATCCATGTTCAAAAAATTGTGGAGACTGGTAAAACAGACTTCTTTAATTAAATGTTATCTCAGAGGCTCTAATATGCTAGTGTGAACTATAAATCTCCAAAAGGTAGACACATGTATTCAGGATTCTCCAAACATATAGACAGTCTTTGATTTAGGAGACACTTCAGTGGGCCAGAAATCATTTGAGAGCTGCTAGTCAAAAGGTCTTATTTTAAGTTAATGAAATAAAATTTCATTTTAAGATCATAGTCAATCTTCTAAAAATTAAGCTACTGTGGTCCAAACCATCAAATAAAAGATGATTAGGTATATATACTCTTACTCTAATCACATGAGATCAGGTCTTAATCCAAATCTGAATAATTCCAGCATTTAGCAAACATTCACAGTGCTCCAAAACATATAATCATTAGTGCCATGTTCATATTTTAAGCTTAAGGATCTAATGCAGATTGTTTTCAGTACATTTCAAATGGATTCTAATTTATCTAGGTATTTAATCTGCCGCTGAACAGAATACTGACTCTGGTAAAAGTCGCTCACAGAGGAAGTGAAACAATAGCCGATGATTATTTAGTTTTCCCCCTGTATAGGGTTTTAGACAAAAAAAGGGATACCATCAATGAATGCCAAGGTTCTTTGAGATTATCTTTATGTTAGCTTTTCCTCAAAAATATAGTTGATCGTGTTTACTACAGACATTAGATTAACTGAAAAAGTGTTTTAACTGTACATAATATGGGGTATGGTTTGGAACAAAAACCCAGGTTCAAATCTCATTGTCTCCCTAGTGAAAGAAGCTGAAAAAGTAAATAAGACCAACAATGCAAAACAGACATTGTGAAATGGTATGAAGCTATTCAAAAAGGAATGAAAACCTGGGATGGGGGAAAGGAAAAAGAAAGGAAAGGAAAAATAAATAAACACACACGCAACAGTTAAGACAGTTATACTAATTGCTATTAGTTCATTGAAAAGGTGCGTGCCTATATTTGTCTGATCAATTTTTCATGCCTACATTTTGTAATAGGAGCAACTACTTTGAAAATAACAATGTACAATGTACTCACCATTGTTACTGTCCTACAATCTTATTTTGAAATTTTGTCATCATCGTTTTTATTTTCTTTAAAATAAATTAAAAATTTAAAAATTACATCAAATCTCAAATCTCCCACCAAACTGCTCTAAGAGTTTAAGGCAATTTATTTGCCCTTCTGAGCCTCAGAGTGCAGCAGCTACAATTAGCCGAGTATCTGGGAATGGAACATGACAGCAGACGAATGGTGCTGAGTATAGGATCTCCCAAGCAAAAACCTGAGCTGCCAACAATGATTTCAGTTGATTTTAAAGACATCTCACTAGCTGAAAATTAAACTGCAATCCCTGTATTCCAACATAAGTGTGAAGTGTAGCTCATGAGTTCCCACAGTGGTGCTCTAAAATTTACTTATCAATGCTTTGGAGGAAGTTCTCACGGGGTGGAAATACACTTGGTCTTGTCTGCACTGTTACCCAAGATTCAGCACAGTATCTGACCTCAAAGTTCCAACGGGATGTGTGTCTGTATGTGTGTACATGAAGAGAAAAATGAGACAAAACGATTAGTCAATACTGTTCCTGTAACTTTTTTTTTTTTTTATCGGTACCGGGGATTGAACCCATGACCACGCACTTGCAAGGCAGGTGCTTATGCTGCTGAGCTAAATCCCCAGTTTTGTATCTAAACTATACAGAATTTAAAAGCTCTAAACTTTTTTTTTTGAAATTGTGTCCCTTCTCCATATGGCACTAACCACCTACTCTTGTATCTATTATTTTATTAACATCATAGAGGTATGTGGCATGGCGATATGACTGTTTTCATTTGTTTTAGGACTCTGTATGTTTTCCCTACAGAGATTAAAGATTTGACCTCCTTTCCTCCTGTCAGCATCACAGACACACAGACAGACACACATACGCAAATACCTTTCTCATCAGCCCACCCTCCACATATAGTTCACATAGTAATGTTGGATCATTATTCAGTTTGCATTTGTATAATGATATTGCTCAGGATTGATCTATACATAATCATTTAACTCTTCTTTCCTACACAATGTTTTGCTTTCTCTGGGCTAACTAAGCATTTGGTTTTTTCCACCTTACTTTTTTCATACTCACAACTAAGCCAATTCAAATCTACTCACCTATTGCCTGACTCCTCTCCAACACGCAGTGCATCAAATCACTGAAGAAAGTTTGGAACCTTCTCCCCAGCTCCCATCTGGACTGAATGTTCTCTATGCCTGGTCTCCTCCTTCTGTCTTCCTGGGCCTTTCTATCTGTTGGGCCTCCTTTTTCATAGGTCTCTCATCTTTTTTCTCAGTCATCTCTATCACTTTGATGAAGCATATGCAGTAACTTCCTGACAAATAATTTTTTATTACCTTGGTGCCTGAAAAAGACTCCTCTACCTAGACATTTGCTTGGAAGTTTAACTCGGTAAGCACTTCTCTAGGTGGACTGTAATTTTTCCTTCAGAATTCTGGACATCATACTCAGTGAGTTCTGTCTTCTGTGCTGCTGATGAGAAGTTCTAGTTCTCTTATTTTTACCTTTTTCCTCCTCTACAATTTATTTTGGTCGGTGGTTCTGAAATGTTATAAAGATGGTGTGAGTGTATTTTCAGGTCTGCTGTGCTGAAAAGTCAGCGGGCCTTTCAGTGTCTACATTTATGTCCGTGGGTTCTGAAAAAATGTTTTGAATTGTTTTGATGGTGGTTCTCTATTTCCTCTGTTCTCGCCTGCATTCCCTTACCATTTGGGTAACGAGTCACCTTGCTTGGGTCTCTAATTTTATCTTAGTCTCTCCTTTTTTCCATGTTTTATTTTGCTGTACTCAGAAATTTCTTTAATCCTGTTTTTAAATCCCTTATTTTGCTACCATGTCTTCAATGATCCAAAAGTTCCCATTTTCTGAATATTTATTTTCTTAAAAACACACTGCTTTTGTTTCATCACAGCCATTTGTGTGAGATGGTTGTTTTATTTTTTCTCCTCCAGCTGAGCGTTCCTTTCTTTGAACTTCTATTTTCATGTTACAGACATCCTTAACTGCTCACATCTGAGGCCCTTTCATCAGGAGAGTTGGTGACCTTTCTGCCAGTGTACTTACTGTAGGCCTTTGGAGATAAAGAGAATACGAGTTCTGAGGATATTACTTAATTTTCCCTGTTTTTTTTTTTTAAATTGCGTGTGTGAGCTACTCTAAGCCTCTAGACTATTTCTGAGTCTATATTCCCTGGTAAAGAGATTCTTCCCACCCTCTCAGGAGGATGCACCTCTTAGTGGATTTTAAGACGTCACTTCCTCCTGAACAGCTTTCTACCACTACAGATGATAGCCTCCTTTCACTGCAACATCCAGGTACGTCTGTTACAATTCCTGGAACTCTGA